AGATGGGGATACCTAGATCTAATTCAACTTCAAACTTGTTGCACGCTAATTTGGCTGCAATGTCTGTCTCATTATGATGGGTTATATTTATGTGTGAAGGTATCCATACAAAGGAGATTCGAGACCCTTTACTCTGTGCATCAATTAGGTCATTTATAATTGGGAGTATGAGGTTCTTGCTGTCGATCTTCCAAGAGAAGTTTTCGATTGCTTGAAGAGCAGACTTTGAATCACAGAATATTATTCCTCCTCCAATGTTTTTTAATGTACTGGTTGCTAAATGTAATGCTGCTAGTTCTGCTTGTGTGGAGGTCAGCCAGTTGTTTAACCTGACACTGACAGTCTTTGTGCAAATATTATTTCTATAAAACCTACATGCCGCTGCAGTCCGTCCGGTAGAGGATTGGACTGAGCCGTCGGTGTAGACACAGTGCTCGTGAGATCTTAAACTCTCAATGGAGGAGGCAATTGTTTCAAGAGTGACAGCTTTGAGAAGAGCAAGATTCTCATTACCTTTCTTGGTGACAGGTGTGTATGATACTTGAATGGTGGGGTATAAATAAAGAGGAATATCAAAGACAGGTAGATTGCACTTAAAAGGAATGTTAAGTTTAATGAGATTGTAGGCATTGTTGCTCAGCCAATTATCATAAAAGGAGTGAGTTGGTATGTCGGCACCAGTCAAAAGGTGTTAACAGCACTAAATAATTTGTCTCTGAGCAATGCAGGAGATGTAGGGTCTCTCATGACTTTAAGGCAAAAGGTTGTGTTGACTTGCATGATTCTCTCTAGTATGGTTGGAAGCTTCAGTTCTTCCCTCATGTTGATGATTCTTGTGCCTCTTGGGGCACCAAGAATTATCCTCATGGCCTCATTCTGTACTACTTCAAGTTTGTCCAACACAGAGGAGGGGAAATTAATTAAGTGCAGAGCATTATAATCAACGAGAGATCTAACGAACATCATATAGAATAGACTAGCATATTTAATATTGATACCAATATTCTTACCAGTAAGCCTTTTTTTTTTTTTATTATTAAGATATGAGGTACATCTGCATTATTATCGCGGAACAACTTGAGAGTCGCACCCTATCTCAAGAACGGCGAAGAAGGTTAGGTAGAGAAATAGAAACAATTGAACTCAAGCTACAAGAATCATACAAAACCCAGTTGAGGCAGAGAGAGCAAAAGGCCATCAGTGAAATAGAGAGAAATCCGAAATATTTTTTCTCCTATGCAAAATCAAGATCAAAAACCACATCTAGTATCGGGCCCCTGCGAAAGGGAGATGGAACTTTCACCGATGACAACAAAGAAATGAGCGAGTTACTGAGGAAGCAGTACGACTCTGTTTTCAGCGAGTCAATAAATGCACTAAAGATTGATAACCCAAATGAATTTTTCATGGATATGATACCAACATCAAATCATATCAGACGTCACCCTATCTCCACTAGATTTTGAAGAAGCCATAAACAGTATGCCTATGCACTCTGCACCAGGCCCGGATTCTTGGAACTCCATATTCATCAAGAACTGTAAAAAACCACTATCGCAGGCCCTTCACATTCTGTGGAGACAAAGCCTAGATACTGGCGTTATCCCTGACATACTAAAAACAGCAGAGATAACACCACTTCATAAAGGAGGAAATAAGGCAGAGGCAAAAAATTACAGACCGATAGCACTAACATCGCACATCATAAAAACTTTTGAGAGAGTGCTAAGAAGTAAGATCACAAAATACATGGAATCACAGCATCTCCATAACCCCGGACAACATGGTTTCAGAACAGGGCGCTCTTGCCTGTCGCAGTTGCTGGACCACTATGATATGGCATTAGATGCTATGGAAGACAAACAAAATGCTGATGTAATTTACACAGATTTCGCAAAAGCCTTTGATAAATGTGACCATAGTGTTATTGCACATAAAATGCGTTCAAAAGGAATTACCGGGAAAATAGGCAGATGGATCTACAATTTCCTGACTAACAGAACCCAATGTGTAATAGTCAACAAAATAAAATCCAGTCCATCAACCGTGAAGAGCTCAGTCCCCCAGGGTACTGTGCTTGCTCCAGTACTTTTTCTCATCCTCATATCGGACACAGACCAGAACACAACCTATAGCACTGTATCATCCTTTGCAGATGACACTAGGATTTTTATGAGAGTTGGCAACATAAAGGACACGGCAAACCTCCAATCAGATGTAGATCAGGTCTCTCTATGGGCTACAGAAAATAATATGGTGTTTAACGAGGATAAGTTCCAGCTCATGCGCTACGGAAAAATGGAAAAATCAAAACGCTTGTGCTCTCTAGAGTGGAGTACTGCTGCACAATGACAGCCCCTTTCAAAGCTGGAGAAATTGCTGACCTGGAGAGCGTGCAGAGATCCTTTACTGCTAGAATCCACTCAGTAAAACATCTAAATTACTGGGACCGACTAAAGAGCCTAAATCTGTACTCCCTTGAGCGCAGGCGGGAGAGATACATAATAATTTACACGTGGAAAATAATTGAGGGGCTGGTCCCAAACCTGCACACAGAAATAACATCACATGAGACCAGGAGGCATGGCAGGATGTGCAGAATACCCCCGTTGAAAAGCAGAGGTGCAACAGGTACTCTGAGAGAGAACTCTATCAACATCAGAGGCCCGAGACTGTTCAATACGCTTCCACTACACATAAGGGGCATAACTGGCCGACCCCTCACAGTGTTCAAGAGAGAACTGGATAAGCACCTCCAAAGGATACCTGATCAACCAGGCTGTGACTCATACGTCAGGCTGCGAGCAGCCGCGTCTAACAGCCTGGTTGATCAGTCCAGCAACCAGGAGGCCTGGTCGACGACCGGGCCGCGGGGACACTAAGCCCCGGAAGCACCTCAAGGTAACGGAAACCCACGTTTACCTCACTTGCTAGCGAGCGAGCGAGCGCGCACACTGCTGGCGCAACGACCTACGTGGGTGGTTGTGGGTAGAGGTGTAGGTGTTAGCACAGGTGAATTGTGGGGTGGGCAAGTGTGTGTAAAGGTGTGGGCGGAGGTACAGGTCCACTGTGGGTCAGAGTAGTTCAGGATCTGACCACCAATAAGCCTTCACACACACATCCACCACCCTTCACTGCTACCTGCAGCTCTGAGCCCCCCCCCCACACCAACGTCACAATCCGCATCACCATCGCACCTCCACCTTACGTGTTACTCAAGGACACTAACCAACGTCTGGGTGTTTGAAATACCGCCAACCACAAGTAAAACTCCTTTCACCAGGCCCAAAATCACCTGAGCAGGGCCGAGAGGAATTTCATTTTGACGGAGGTCAGTAACCCTTTTCCACCATGTTAACTGTCCAGCATTTCCTCCGTCAGTGACAGCAATACACAACTTAAAGGCCACAGCTGAATGTCGGGTCATTCGCCTCGGGTAACCTTAAACTTCACCAACTTGGGGATCTCTGGAGTAACATTTGGAGGCGTGTTGAGTATGGCTAGTCGTCGATATATGATATGATATGATATATTATATATTATATTATATATATATATATATATATTTATATTTATATTATTAAATATGACCGAAAAAGTAAGATTAATAATTCTAACACGAATTTTCTCAATCTTTCATACATTTCTTTTCACTGTTGGAGGTAATTCAAAAATCAATTCTCCAAAATTCATTTTTATTTTTTTGGAGAATTGATTTTTGAATTACCTCCAACAGTGAAAAGAAATGTACGAAAGATTGAGAAAATTCGTGTTAGAATTATTAATCTTACTTTTTCGGTCATATTTAATAATATATGTCTACAGGAAAGACTGCTACCAAAATATACTAATTATATATATATATATATATATATATATATATATATATATATATATATATATATATATATATATATATATATATATATATATATATATATAACCCCAAAACACATCCGACCGCTCGCAATGAAACTCCTCAACACTCATTACAAAGTATAAATGTAGTTTAGCATCAAGCTTGAGACAATAAGGAAGGAGCTGACCCCGGGGGTCAACAACCCTGCGACGGTAAGCCGGTAATTAGCACAGGTGTGTGACCCCAGTCTCCGCTCCTCCCACGGGGGACCACCGTCTCCCGGCCAGCTAAGTGCCAATTAAGTGACATTCACTAACCCTTTCCTCCGGTGAGTGTGGCTAAACTACCCACCATATAACCGCTAGAACACTCAGGGGAGGTAAGGGGGGGGAGTAGACTCAGAGAGGACAGTGCATGAGAGGGGGGAGGGGGGAGGGGGGAGAGGGGTAGACCTGGGGAAACTCACCAAGATCTATTGAAGCTGCTGTTATCTGGAGGAAGCGTCAACATTACGGTGCTCGTTAATTGTACTGAAGCGTCTGAAATTTTGACGCAGTGATCGATAGCGTTAAGTGTGAGGTTTGCCATTAAACACTCCTGGGGGCCGGATTCACGAAGCAGTTACGCAGGTTCTTACGAACGTGTACATCTCTCCTCAATCTTTGACGACTTTGGTTACGCTTATTAAACAGTTTACAATTATGAAAACTTCCCAAATCAACTGTTGTTGTTATTGTTATAAACAGCCTCGTGGTGCTTCGGAGCCCATTAACTGCTTAATAATCGTAAACAAAGCCGCCAAAGATAGAGAAAAGATGTGCAGGTTCGTAAGTGCTTGCGTAACTGCTTCGTGTATCTGGCCCCTTATCTCCATGGTAACCAATACGGTACGTATAGGTTTATATATTCCCGTTAACGTGTGAATGCACGTTACCCACGCACCACTTGTTATTCCGACTGCCGCTAGTACAGCTACTACAAGAGGTACGACTACAAGAGGCACGACTACAAGAGGTACGACTACAAGACGTACGACTACAAGAGGTACGACTACAAGAGACACGACTACAAGAGGCACGACTACAACTACTTGGTTGGTGGAAGGCCAGGCGGGAAGATCAGTGAGCGTGTGTGTACTTACTTGTAGACGACCTCGTTCTTGGGGATGACCTTGCCCTCTGTGAACACCTTGGCGTGCTCGATCCCATGGCTGGTGAGGACCTGTACAACAGACATGGCTTAGTCAATAGTGGTAGGTGGGACAGGGAGTGGGAGGTAGGTGGGTGGGGGCAGGGAGAGGGAGGTAGGTGGGTGGGGGCAGGGAGAGGGAGGTAGGTGAGTGGGGGCAGGGAGAGGGAGGTAGGTGGGTGGGGGCAGGGAGTGGGAGGTAGGTGGGTGGGGGCAGGGAGAGGGAGGTAGGTGGGTGGGGGCAGGGAGAGGGAGGTAGGTGGGTGGGGGCAGGGAGAGGGAGGTAGGTGGGTGGGGGCAGGGAGAGGGAGGTAGGTGGGTGGGGGCAGGGAGAGGGAGGTAGGTGGGTGGGGGCAGGGAGAGGGAGGTAGGTGGGTGGGGGCAGGGAGAGGGAGGTAGGTGGGTGGGGGCAGGGAGAGGGAGGTAGGTGGGTGGGAGTGGGTGGGGGGTTGTGTGTGTGTGTGGGGGGGGGGTGTAAACCTTAACTGGGTTTCGATAGTTATCTTGAGATTCTTGAGGTTATCTTGAGACGATTTCGGGGCTTTTTTTTTTTTTTTTTTTTAGTGTCCCCGCGGCCCGGTCCTCGACCAGGCCTCCACCCCCAGGAAGCAGCCCGTGACAGCTGACTAACACCCAGGTACCTATTTTACTGCTAGGTAACAGGGACATAGGGTGAAAGAAACTCTGCCCATTGTTTCTCGCCGGCGCCTGGGATCGAACCCAGGATCACAAGTGCAGCGTGCTGTCCGCTCGGCCGACCGGCTCCCCGCTCCAACAACAAGAGATCCAACATTCCGTTTGTAACATTTTGAATGTATGTACTTTTATCTGAATAAACATATATTTATTATTATTTATTACTAGTACATTTCTTTATAAATATCAAGTTCCAAGAGTAGAGATGGGGTCCCGAGTGTATGCAAATGTTGTCAATGTCTTTCAAAAGCCTAATGCGAATATGTTAATATTAGTTATATACATAGTCAGTTTTGGACACCGTTCAATGTCGAATCTGTCCAGATCTTCAACTTTCATAATTTATTAGGGTGCTAAGAGACATAGCCCAATACTGTTCTTTTAATATTCACTAATCTCTTGCCCAATCAATGTGTATGAACTTGCACTTGTAAGTACAGGTCCAAAACTGGTGGGCTTTTCATTTTGAGTTTGCACATGTCAAATAATATTTACAAAAATTGTTGTTCTGTTTTTCTGTTTCAATTGCATTTCTACAGTCTGGAGGGACCGATTCAGATCCTGCTCCGTTTAATCACTCTCCCTGTTTAAATTACACCTTTGGTGGGATAGTTGTGTATGAGTATGTGGGTTGTATGGGTGAGGTGTGCGCTTGTGTATGGATAACTGGGGTGTATTTTGAAATTGTAGTATACAGTGTGGAGAGGAGAACACCTACTGTAGGAACTAGTTAACTAGATGATACACCTATGAGAATGACTACACTAAGTGTAGCGAAGTGTTGTTATTCGTCATTTACTATTCAATGGGGGCCACACTGCCTAACATCAATAGCAACATCACACACCACATGTAAACTTCCCACACAAAAGTAAACTTGACAAAATCTAAAGAAGTATCCCCCTATCAGGCCCTATCACTTATAAGATTTAAAAGTTAAGAATTATGGAGAGGACAGAACTGCAATTCTCAGCTATCAAAAGTCATAGAGAAATATTACTATTAAGCCTGAAAAACTCTTACTCTGTGTAATCACAATGGCCACATTGAACACTAATAATCCAACACACACACACACACACACACACACACACACACACACACACACACACACACACACACACACAGACAGAGACAGACAGACAGACAGACAGAGACAGACAGACAGACAGACAGACAGACAGAGACAGACAGACACAGAGACAGACAGAGACAGACAGACAGAGACAGACAGACAGAGACAGACAGACAGAGACAGACAGACAGAGACAGACAGACAGAGACAGACAGACAGAGACAGACAGACAGAGACAGACAGACAGACAGACACAGACAGAGACAGACAGACAGACAGACACAGACAGACAGAGACAGACAGACAGACAGAGACAGACAGACAGACAGAGACAGACAGACAGACAGAGACAGACAGACAGACAGAGACAGACAGACAGACAGAGACAGACAGACAGACAGAGACAGACAGACAGACAGAGACAGACAGACAGACAGAGACAGACAGAGACAGACAGACAGAGACAGACAGACAGAGACAGACAGACAGAGACAGACAGACAGACTCACCTCGGGTTGGTAGTAGCGAGAGGTGTTGGTGAGGTCGACGACGAGCCCCAGGTTGGTACAGTGGTCCATCAGGGTCCGGGGGCTGAACCATTCACATTCCTTCACCTTACTCATGATCCCCTGTAACAACAACAACAACAACAATTTACAATTAAAACACCACTCCATATAAAAAATAAATAATAATAATAATAATAATAATATACACACAAATATATATATAGGCTCGGAGTCTTGAAGTGGGCAGAATACAGTTATGCATTAATTGGCTGTTGATTGCTGGTGTTGACTTTTTGATGTGTAGTGCCTCGCAGATGTCGAGCCTCCTGCTATCGCTGTATCTGTCGATGATTTCTGTGTAGTTTGTTAAGATTTCTCTGGTGATGGTCTGGTTGTGAGAGGAGATTATATTTTCCTTTATGGAGCCCTGTTCTTTATGCATTGTTAATCGCCTGGAAAGAGACGTTGTTGCCTTGCCTATATACCGAGTTCTTTGGGGTTTACAGTCCCCAAGTGGGCATTTGAAGGCATAGACGACGTTGGTTTCCTTCAAGGCGTTATGCTTGGTGTCTGGGGAGTTCTTCGTGAGTAGGTTGGCCGTTTTTTTGGTTTTATAGTAAATCGTCAATTGTATTTTCCGATTTTTGTCTGTAGGGATAACGTTCCTATCAGCAATATCTTTCAGGACACTTTCCTCCATTTTATGAGCCGTCGAAAAGAAGTTCCTGTAGAATAGTCTAATAGGGGGCACATGTGTTGTGTTAGTTGACTCTTCAGAGGTTGCATGGCGTTTCACTTTTCTTTTTATGATGTCTTCAACAAAACCATTAGAGAAGCCGTTAGAGAAGTGCAGTTCCACACCAACTGCTTACCATTCTTCATTGATCCCATTCAGACGGGATCACGGGTTCACCGTGATCCCGTCTGGGCGACCGACAAGCTCCTCAGAGTTGCGGAGGACTAGGACACGGGGTTCTCTCTCTGCTGGACAACCGGCTGCGGTAAGGCTTCTTCCTCTTAATAATGTTATTAACCTCGCAGTGTCTTGCATGCTGTCCTTTGACAGAGAAGGCCATGCCGTCCGTACCTGGTTGATACCTGGTTGATGGGGTTCTGGGAGTTCTTCTACTCCCCAAGCCCGGCCCGAGGCCAGGCTCGACTTGTGAGAGTTTGGTCCACCAGGCTGTTGCTTGGAGCGGCCCGCAGGGCCACGTACCCACCACAGCCCGGCTGATCCGGAACTTCTCTTAGAAAACCGTCCAGTTTTCTCTTGAAGATGTCCACGGTTGTTCCGGCAATATTTCTTATGCTCGCTGGGAGGACGTTGAACAACCGCGGACCCCTGATGTTTATACAGTGCTCTCTGATTGTGCCTATGGCACCTCTGCTCTTCACAGGTTCAATCTTGCATTTTCTTCCATATCGTTCACTCCAGTACGTTGTTATTTTACTGTGTAGATTTGGGACCTGACCCTCCAGTATTTTCCAGGTGTATATTATTTGGTATCTCTCTCGTCTCCTTTCTAGAGAGTACATTTGGAGAGCTTTGAGACGATCCCAATAATTTAGGTGTTTTATCTCGTCTATGCGTGCCGTATATGTTCTCTGTATTCCCTCTATTTCAGCAATCTCTCCTGCTCTGAAGGGGGAAGTGAGTACTGAGCAGTACTCGAGACGGGACAGCACAAGTGACTTGAAGAGTACAACCATTGTGATGGGATCCCTGGATTTGAAAGTTCTCGTAATCCATCCGATCATTTTTCTGGCTGACGCGATATTTGCTTGGTTATGCTCCCTAAACGTTAGATCGTCGGACATCATTATTCCCAAATCCTTGACATGCTGTTTTCCTAGTATGGGAAGATTCGATTGTGTTTTGTACCCTGTATTATGTTTCAGATCCTCATTTTTGCCGTACCTGAGTACCTGAAATTTATCACTGTTAAACATCATGTTATTTTCTGCTGCCCAATCAAAAACTTTGTTGACATCTGCTTGTAGTTTTTCAATGTCTTCAGCAGAGGTAATTTTCATGCTGATTTTTGTGTCATCTGCAAAGGACGACACGAAGCTGTGGCGTGTATTTTTGTCTATATCAGATATGAGAATAAGGAACAGTAGCGGTGCAAGGACTGTACCTTGAGGTACAGAGCTTTTAACATCGCTTGGACTCGATTTTATCTGATTGACTGTTACTCTTTGTGTTCTGTTCGACAGGAAATTGAGTATCCAGCGTCCTACTTTTCCAGTTATTCCCATTGACCTCATTTTGTGAGCTATCACCCCATGGTCACATTTGTCGAACGCCTTTGCAAAGTCTGTGTATACAACATCTGCATTTTGCTTTTCTTCTAAGGCTTCTGTGATTTTGTCATAGTGGTTGAGTAACTGTGACAGACAGGATCTTCCCGCTCTAAATCCATGTTGTCCTGGATTGTGCAATTCATTGTTTTCCATAAAACTAGAAATTTGATTCCTAATCACTCTTTCAAACACTTTTATTATGTGTGATGTTAGTGCAACTGGCCTATAATTTTTTGCCAAGGCTTTACTCCCCCCTTGTGCAACGGAGCTATATCTGCAGATTTAAGTGCTGCTGGTATCTCCCCTGTATCCAGGCTCTTTCTCCATATTACGCTGAGTGCTCTCGCTACTGGTACTTTACATTTCTTTATGAATATTGAATTCCATGAGTCAGGCCCAGGAGCTGAGTGCATAGGCATATTATCAATTTCTCTTTCAAAGTCTTCCGAGTTTGTGGTAATATCCGTTATATTATCTGCAGCTTGAATGTCATTCATAAAGAAGCTGTCTGGGTCATCAACTTTCATGTTGTTTATTGGTGTGCTAAACATAGCCTCATACTGGCTTCTTAGAATTTCACTAATCTCTTTGTTGTCCTCTGTGTACGTACCTTCATTTGTAATTAACGGTCCAATACTGGTCGAGGTTTTGGATTTTGATTTTGCGTATGTGAAAAAATATTTCGGATTTTTCCTTATCTCTTGTATAGCTTTCTGTTCCAATTCCATTTCCTCAGACTCATATGATCGCTTCAACGTTTGTTCTATTTCCTCAATCTCCCTGCTTAGGCTTGTTTTCCTTGCTTGTGATAGTTGTGTCTGCCGAAGCATTTCCGTTATTTTTTTCCTTCTCCTGTACAGTCGTCTCCGTTCTCTTTCTAGAGTGGTCCTCTTTCTGCCCCTCCTCACAGGTACGTGCTTCAAGCAGACCTTGTAAGCTTCAGCCGTACCTGTCGGCCACTGCCTCGCCGCAAATACACTTGTATTCGGTGTGGACTGGGGCAGCGAGGCAGAGAGCCACAGCAATTCGGAGGGCCTGCGGTGTGAGACGGGTGTCAGTTGCTGACATTGGGGTTGCTAATAGGAAGTCATCAAGAGTGCCAAGATCAGGCTGGCTACCGTTACTGCGGCCTAGATGACAAGCCCCCACTCCTGAACACCCTGTGTGGAAACTCCGTGAGTAGGAGGAACTGGGTCATATTCTCCAATACATTATTTAATGTTTACTAGAGTTGGCAAATAAGCTTGTCATGGGACCATAAGGACCTCACCATGGAATAGGCTGCTGGAATGGGCTCTGTGACCCACCATATAGGTCAGGAGAGACACGTAAATGCAGATTCATTTATGTTATACATAAAAAGATGACCCAAGAGGTCACTGTAGTCGAGGGTGTTTCCCTATGCAAGCACACACACACACACACACACACACACACACACACACACACACACACACACACACACACACACACACACACACACAGTCTCGAGCCTCCATAGCTCAGTGGATAGAGCGCTGGTCTAATAACCCAGAGGCCGGGAGTTCGATCCTCCCTGGAGGCACGCCTGTTGGGTTCCAAAGTGTTTGAGGGAGCCGGCCGGCCGAGCGGACAGCACGCTTGGCACGTGATCCTGTGGTCCCGGGATCGATCCCGGGCCCCGGCGAGAAACGATGGGCAGAGTTTCTTTCACCCTAAGCAACTGTTACCTAGCAGTAAATAGGTACCGGGGAGTTAGTCAGCTGTCACGGGCCGTTTCCTGAGGTAGGTACTCACCTAGTTGTGCTTGCGGGGGTTGAGCTTTAGCTCTTTGGTCCCGCCTCTCAACCGTCAATCAACAGGTTATAGGTGTGTGTGTGGGGAGGGGGGGGGGGAAATAGTAGTAGTAGTAGTAGAAACAGTTGATTGACAGTTGAGAAGCGGGCCGAAAGAGCAGAGCTCAACCCCCGCAAGCACAACTAGGTGAACTAGGTGAATACACACACAAAAGTTTCCGAGATGTCAACAAGAACATTTTCATTGCTCGAGTTGTAAACAGGTGGAGTGGGTTAGCCCGAGACTGGCGAGTCCAGGCACACGTGTCTGGGAGCCGGGACAACCACAGTCAAGTGCCTTAAGACATACACCACGCACACCCAGACAGGAAGGCGTGAATGATTCCAGGTATTTGAAGAACTTTAAATCTTAGTTGTAAACTACAGAACGTGCAGAAAGGATACGATTAAGTACTTTTTCTTTTACCAGCAATGATAGAGTGCTGGAATAAATTCCCAGTGGGGCTAGTGTCTGGTAAACTTCTGAAGTTTACCAAGTATTTATGATAACATATACAAGGAAGACAGGGCAACATAACTCTCTGCCTGTAACTTTAAATAAGTAATAAATGGGCAATAAAACTCCCATCCATCCCCCCCCCCACACCATCGAGTCGATTAAGAGTTGAGAGACGGGACACAAGAGCCATGACTTATTCCCCAGCACATACAACTAGGTGAGCGCACGCGCGTATGCACGCTCACTTGCGCACACACACACACACGAGTGCACAGCGCTAGGGAGTCGTAGTCCTAAGGACCCGGGTTCGATTCCAGACCGAGGCGGAAACAAATGGGGAATATCTTTCACCCTGATGCTTCTGTTCACCTAGCAGTAAATAGGCACCTGGTAGTTAAGACAGCTGCTATGGGCTGCTTCGCGCGCGCGTCTCTCACAGGGAAAAATATGTAGTAGATATTAGAGGAAAAATAGATGGTTAGAAAGGCGGGGTCCAAGAGTCAATAAGCTCGTTTCTACAGACAAGCCGTAAATACAAATAG